TTAATTGATTGTACAGAAAATGCTGTATAACTAATTAAAATAATATAAACAATGATTGACCTATAAATTATCACTTCAATAAAAGTAAGAAATTTTACGTTTCTTGCACGAAATTTTTACGAATATCTTGCAAAAAGTATGATATTGACGTTAATTCAAATGATATGATATGCAATGGAGCTAAAAACTTGTTTTAAATTGTAAAAATTTAACTGGTGTAATCTTTTAATATGTAAATTTGTTATTTGCTTCTTAACTAGAAATTATAGATATTTTCTATGATATTTATAGGTTCAGCGTGATATGATAGATGGCCATCGACCTTCTTTATTGTGTATAGAAGATCCACTTACACCTGGAAACGATATTGGCCGTAGTAGTTATGGCGCACTATATGTAAAAGATGCATTTGATTGGGCTTATTATGTCCTTTCGCAAGCAGTTAGTCCTTTAAATATTTTAGTCAATGATGCGAATAAAGTAAGGTAAGATTATATAGACACTAAAAATGTATACACTGTTTACTATTATAAAATTCATTTAAACGTTCACTAAACATAAATTCTACAGTATACTAGGAAGAATAATTCGCGTGACAGATGAAGTAATAGAATATCGCAAGTGGATTAAAGAAACATTCCCACTACCTTTGAGTGAGGTAGACTCATTATCAAGTTCAACAGGATCCGATGCATCAACACTGTCTGCTCCAGCAAGTGATACAGTACAGTATTCAATTTTACTTTCATATAGAATAATATTATAATTGTATTTTATTACAATTATAACTTTAATGTACATTAAATAGTAATTTGTTTTTTATATTCGAAGGATTCTGAGTGTAGTCGAGGTAACTCTCCAAATACTGGAGGAAAGGGAGAAGATAGAAGTAAAGAAAAACATACATATAATAATCAACATACTCATCATTCACAATGGAAAAAACCATTCAAGGGAACTTCTCAAGGTAAGCTTAAATTAAAAAATACGTATACATATAATATACTTTATAAATATATGAATATTTATTTGCCATAGGTAACCACCATAGTTCCAGAGGAAATTATCATCATCGTGGAATAAACAATAATATAAGTGGACAAAGTAAAGCAAAACATTCTCTACATAGTAATGGAAGTAACAACAATAGTCACAGTCCAAGTTCTAGACCACAAACTGTAAAACGAAAAAAACAGTGCATTACACCACGCGGCGGTACTGGAGACTGTGTACGGTGATGAAACGTGCAAAATAATGTTGGACTTTGTTTGTCATTTAAGTAGCGAGCTCAATATCATAATCGTGTGGTGAAAAGACATTGAGTAACTTTCATACCACAATTGAATTAACCTTTCCACTTTTGTGTACAGAGGGGCTCAGTGTTTATAACGATAAAGAGTTTATTAACTCTGTGGTTTTTTCTTATAGGGTCAAAATATTGATCTAAATATAATTGAGTTCTTCATTTCATCATAAATATTTTTTATATTCTGTACGAAAGTTAACATACCAAAGACGTACAGAATTGTAATATAGATTGGTTTAATTTTACTTTTTTCGCATTACTGCACATATTACAAGAAAAAAGAAACATTAAGGAAACATGTCGTATTTTATTAAATATTGTTTACAAAGTCACAAGCTTATTGCAATCTTTAAATAGCAATAGTTTTATCATAAC